TAAAATTCCAAAAAAGTATCTTTTTAAGGGGAATTTTGATGGTGATATTGGGCTCTACGATCCGCACGGAATCCTTGGACTCGCATCCAATTAGAAAACGACAAGGTGGTAAAATAGTGCTAGGTTTACACTATTTTGCGAGGGACTGCAGTGCCAAAAAGTTGAAAAGCGTCTAGTAAAAATAAGAAAATTGAGCACTAATGAGTATCAGTACAAGACGAATTTTTGACTCCAATTGAAAATTGTTGAACTTTTTGGTCATGCTTTTCTCTGCAAAATTGTGTGGACCCAGCACTATTTTTCCCGTTGGTTGCACACAGTTACGGCCAAATTTTTTGTGTGTTTTTCTTGTTAGAAAACGACTCAACTCATCTGTACCAAAAGGATCGAGATAAAAATTCTCTCCCTAGATATTGGCACTGCACCCAAACCAAAATCTGAAGCGAGCCTTACACGATCAGGACGAGGTTCTAAGAGGATCACTCAACGACCCGAACTTGCACCTCTAGCCAATGAGAGGCTTCGAAAATCATGGCTGGCTCCAAATCGACTTGGATGTAGGGACAGAACTTTGAAGCGGAGCTAGCCATTGCGTTGCGTTCATCGGTTTGCGGTCGTTGGGGTCTTATCGTGGATCTACTGTCGGAGTTTGCGTGCTTGCGGTTCGAGGGCCTCGTTAATCTAATCCACTCGCGGTCAGTTCACGCCTAATCCAATTGAGTCTCAATAGAGGTTAGTTCGCTGAACATCGGGTTCGTTCGGAACGATGATGCCATATCAGGCTCTCAGGACGCCCCCAAAAGCTCAACACGTAAAATAATTAGTTGTTTTCAAAAGGGAACAAGTCCATTCCTCGATGAGTCTTAGTTAGCATGTTCTCCTATGACAGCCATGGCTCATGCAAAAATGGATTTGTTCATTTTCGAAAACAACTGATTCAAATGTCTTGCCACGCAGCTGAAAACCACGATTTTGAACTTCGCACTATAATTTTCTCAGAAAACGTGTCAGTGTTGAGAACCATTGGGGTGAGGTAAAGGAAATGGAGGTATTTTCTTCTCGACCCTTTCGGCGGAAACGAAGCTTTCCGTTTCCGCCAACGGAGCCGTGGCGCGAGAATTGAATGTCAACAATTTTGCATGAACTACACTTTCCAGGTAAATGTTATCCATTTTATCCGCGAAATAGGCCCTTAAACCTATTTTGATCGGGCTTGCTCGTGTATTGGTCTCTAAGAACCACGAAAAATCTAAAACTGGAGAGCCAATCAGAGAGCAGCACAGTCTTGGCAATACTCTTATCTTTGCCGCAACACAAGTGGAGGAGAGTGAAATACAAGTGTTTTTGGGTAAACATCATGATTGTTCTTGCGCGACAATGATTCCCATCGTCTCATATAGTTCAACATTCATCGAGATAGATATCCACCGACATACTCTCGTAAGTGTGCGGAGTTCTCTATGAATACTCCCTCGGCCAGATCTCGACAATGCTCACCGCTCAGTAGCCGAACAAGCGGATTTCACTATTTACTCGTCACACTTAACCCGGAATAAGGCCCTTCGTGACCCAAATATTTGTTTCGCTATTCGTCCCGTGGTAGGCGAGTGTGCTTACAAAAAATATGCTAATTGCTCCGCGGATGTCATGCCGCACGGATACACACTTTGCTCGTCCTGCGATGCCAAATTTCACTGCGCCGCGGAACATGGGAATTTATATGGGCGTTAGATCGGAGTGCATCTGAAATTGGAAGAAAGGAACAAGATAAAGAGAAGGGAAGAAAAGGTGGGAAGATCATGCGGAGGGGGAAAAATGAGAGAAAAATGAAAAGTGATCTGAATGAGAAGAAGAAGAAGAAGATGATAATGATGATGACTATTATGAAGAGGAATAGAAAAAACGAGAAGGAGACGTGCAAGAATAGTGAGAAGAAAACCAGTGAGAAAAAGAAAAATAAGAAAGGAGGAGAATAGAGAGAAAAAGAATATTAAGAAGGAAATGAAGAAAGCATTTTTCCTCGTTTTTTCTGCCTCTTCTTTCACCGCTTGTTTTTTCTCTTCTACTAACTTCTTCCTCTCCTCCTCCTCCTCCTCCTCCTCCTCCTCCTCCTCCTCCTCCTCCTCCTCCTC